AAAAAATAATGCACATGTTCTTGTGGAAATATAGACCTCCTGGCCAGGATGAGGATACTGATGACCTATTCCTGTTCTTTGAGGAACTAAGGGACACTTCCACGTAAAGTACCCTTGTCCTTCTGGGGGACTTCAACTTGCTGGAAGTCAGCTGCGAGCAGCATACAGCTAGCACAACCCAGGCCAGAAGATTTCTAAGCAACCTGGAGGATGGCTTTATGAAACATATCATAAGGGAGCCAGCTCGGAAGAATGCCCTCCTTGATCTGCTGCTTGTCAAGCAGCACTCTTCTTGAGAGTGAAGATTGGAGTTGTCTCAACCACAGTGGCCACAAGGCGATTGATTTAAAAATCTGTTGACAAAAGGAAAGCTGCCAGCTAAAATTCAACACTGGACATAAGGAGAGCAGACTTCAGGCTGCTCAGGAAACTTCTGAGTCCAGTCCCCCAAGAAAATATTTTTGCAGGTGCTGGGGTTCATGAGTGCTGGTCACTCTTTAAACATCACCTCCTAAGGGCACAGGAGCACAGCTGCTGTGGGATGGAGGAGAGAATTGGAAGAGTGAGAAAACTCAAACATAGCCTCATGCCAGTTACTATGGAGAAAATTGCCTCTACACCAGCCAAACCCAACATAACAGGCTGAGTTACCAGGTCAGTGAGTTAGTTGTTAGCACAGTCTGAAGTGCTGCAGTCTCTGTTTGTAAATCCTAAGGCCATAGAATTTACCGAGTAATTTGGTTTAACTTTTTCCCACCATGTTGGGGATTAAGTTATACTGGGCTAGTTTCTTGTGGTGAAGAACACACATGTAGTTTGTTACCATAGCTGACATACTGTAATATTTTATTGCTGCTCTAATAACTTGTAATAACATGTGCCTAAATCTTTTGGAGTCTTTATTTATCGGGACAAATTTTAAATACTTGATGTGGTGCAGTATGGAAAATTATTACTTAAAGTAGAGGTTAGTAAGAGATGTAGAGAACAAGTTGGTAGAGGTGGTTAGTGAAATTAGAAAAGTGATTACCAAATAGGAATAATTGCAGTGAAGTTCCCTAGGGATCACTTCGGAGTCTTACTTAGTATTTGTATTTGTATGGCATGTTGTGATATTTGATGCAAGGAAATATTGTCAGTACACAGGTAATTTTACAAAAAGCTGTCTGAGAAAGCTAGACTTTGGAAAGTGCTGGTCACTCTTTAAACATCACCTCCTAAGGGCACAGGAGCACAGCTGCTGTGGGATGGAGGAGAGAATTGGAAGAGTGAGAAAACTCAAACATAGCCTCATGCCAGTTACTATGGAGAAAATTGCCTCTACACCAGCCAAACCCAACATAACAGGCTGAGTTACCAGGTCAGTGAGTTAGTTGTTAGCACAGTCTGAAGTGCTGCAGTCTCTGTTTGTAAATCCTAAGGCCATAGAATTTACCGAGTAATTTGGTTTAACTTTTTCCCACCATGTTGGGGATTAAGTTATACTGGGCTAGTTTCTTGTGGTGAAGAACACACATGTAGTTTGTTACCATAGCTGACATACTGTAATATTTTATTGCTGCTCTAATAACTTGTAATAACATGTGCCTAAATCTTTTGGAGTCTTTATTTATCGGGACAAATTTTAAATACTTGATGTGGTGCAGTATGGAAAATTATTACTTAAAGTAGAGGTTAGTAAGAGATGTAGAGAACAAGTTGGTAGAGGTGGTTAGTGAAATTAGAAAAGTGATTACCAAATAGGAATAATTGCAGTGAAGTTCCCTAGGGATCACTTCGGAGTCTTACTTAGTATTTGTATTTGTATGGCATGTTGTGATATTTGATGCAAGGAAATATTGTCAGTACACAGGTAATTTTACAAAAAGCTGTCTGAGAAAGCTAGACTTTGGAAAGAATCACCTTCTGGAGCAGAGTGGGTAGCACAGCTGAAACTTAATCTGAAATTACATGGACAGTTCTTGCCATCTGTAGTCGAGAAAGAAGACTAGATGATAACTAGGATAGTTGTGCAGGTGAACTGCAAGAAAGATCAGTGGAATGGGGAATCTGGGCAAATAATCTAGGAGGAGGTAAGTTCATCTCAGCAAAAGGGATGAGCTACTAGTCACCAAACAAGGATAAAAACTTGTAAGTTAAATGAAGAAGCTGGCACAAAAATACTTTTATGTAAATTAATTACAAGAAAATGTCTGGTCATGTTAATGTTAAGAAGAAAGGAATGTAATAAATTTAGAAAAGCTGTCACCATAAATTTCTGTAACATAATGTAACATAACTTTTTAAAGGAAGGAAGTAGTCAATTCTAGAATATTTCTCTTACAATCTTGCAAACTCGATCACTAGCTCTGCATCATGTTGCAGAAGCAAGGGGAACAGGTTTGCTAAAGTAAACATGGTCATAGAACTGTATTTGCCTTAAAAATCAAATTATTTTGGCTGTTAATTCTAGACCATGATAAGAAATTCTAGTACAAAAATAGCACAGAAGAAATTAAACTGTCTGCACCAGAATGTTTTCAGCAGTCCTGCTAATAAGATGATCATCTTTTCACAATATTAAACACTATAAACTCTCAGGTAGCTTTAATTACATGTATTCTGAGAACAAAAGCATTTTCTTTGATAAACTGACTGTTACTGTTACTTCATAGTGTGTTTTTAACTGCATCAGATTTTGGAATAATTACTTAAGCACTGTGTCATGAAACTTGGAAAACCTAAGTTAGTGCTTCCTGGACAGGTCCCTGTTCTTTCTGCTCCTTCCATTTTGCCTCCTTGTTTCACTATGTATAATTTATATGGGTTCTGGCACTCAGCAGACTTTTTTTTTTTTTTTGTGAGCTTCAATGTTTTTAACATTTCTTACCATGTCAGAAAATGAGGCCAGTAAAAAAAAAAAATTTCTCAGCATTTTCTGCTGGATTAATGAGTTAAATCAGTGTAGTTAGTAGAATGCCAAGTGACAGAACTAGCACCAGTGGTGGAATAGAGTGGCTTAGTCCAGTTTGGCACATGGGAGGAGGGAGAAATAAGAGTGGTGGTAGGGTGGAGCAAGATTTCCCTTTTTGTCAGTATTGGACTGTTAATGTATTCAGCTGCTGTGTGAGTTAAACAGTCTGCTATTTTCTTAATTTAATGTGTTTTTGATAGATATATATGATAATTATAATTACCTCAGAATTTGTGATTATTTTACAATTCTGTACTGTTAGTTTTGTAGCTAATGCAACTTCATTTTATAGACTGTCATTCAGTTTTACCATAAGAAAATATTTCTTACCTTATACTGACAAAGCAGAGCATCTTCCTATGTCTGTCAAGTAGGGAGACTTGTTTCATGCAGTGGTGGGAACTACACCAAAGTATTTTAGGTCTTTTCCTTCTGCTGTTATGCTCAGAAATTGAAAATAAAATTAAACTTCATTGTGAGTACAACTCACAACTGAATTAACTTTGGATGGAATGCAGGTGATTAAGCAGTCAGGGGCCTGTGGTGAGAAGAATGTGAAGTCCTGGCATGGAAGTCCAATAGTAATAAAATTTTCTCTGTTCTGCTGTAAGAAGGGTTGTTTTTTTTTAATACTGTGAAGTTAATGGGTTCTGTTGTAATTAAAATTACAAAATCAATTTTCCCATAAATAAATTAATACATAAAAATTACTGAGCACAAGGGAATTATGGAAATGTCCTTTGCAAAAGTAACAGTACGTATAGTCAAAATGTGTTTTATTTCTGATGGATATGTCAGAGATAATATTGCAGGCTTCAGGAAGAAGTACTATAATTTGCTCCTTTGGGTTTTTAACATAACCATTCAGCAGTTCCGTTGTGCCACTGAGTATGTTTGTTTCATGTGAGATTTCATTTTTCTGTTTTCTTCTGAAAAATAGGGGATACTACCTCCTTTACAGGCATGGAATTATCTCTTAGTAGTGCTATGGAGATGTGAAACTGTATAGAGGTTCTTAAATATTACTAAACAACAATGCAGAAAGGGTACTGAACAATTCAGAGGGATCACTATGTCCTCACATCGTATTGTTTTAGGTAGTGTTATTTTGCCCAGTTCACTTTATACAATCTGAAGAGAAACTTCATTTACTTAAAGATCAAACTACCTATTCTAAGCTTCTATTCAAAATGAGCAGTTACACACAAATATAGCACAATTATGTTAGTTTATTTTAAAACAATTAAACCTTTAAAGCCATCTTTTTTTATTTATGCTGTTAATATTTACTCATCCTTTGCAAATAGACACCTATTAGTGTCCTACCTGCACGTTATAGAGATGCAGATTAATCTCAGCATGTGCCTGGAAGATTGCCAGAGCTCTGTTAGCCGTCTTTTCTGCTTGATCTGACTGTCTTCTTTTGATGCTTTATATAATAGGGCAGTGAACTGCTATATGAGCAAGCAGGTCCAGCTTTTATAATTTTCAACTTCTGTGGGAGAAGTCTCCTTTCAGAAGTGTGTATTTAAGGTGTCTCTGCCTTAAATGTAGTAGTTTTGAGCTAATATTCATGCAAGTCTTTAACATCTCATTAATACTGTTTATGGAAAAACTATGGAAATGTAAGTCAGTAGTGAGGTGTCACAGAAAAGTAGTATTTTTGCTAATTTGACAGGTATGTCAGTTTTGCTGAAGAACAACTAAAGCATTTTAAAACTGTCATGAAAATATAACGGTTTAAGACTTCTATATTATTTTAAATAGAAGGCTCATGTTCCATTACTTGAAAAAAAAACAACCCACAACACAAGTGCCCCCCTTGCTAAGAAAGTCATCAGTTGCATGATGTATGTGTCCACAGAAACTTCAAAATTCTGCAGCCTTTTTGGTGTATGGGGAAGAGAGGTAATAAAAACCAGAACACGAAAGACTCATAGTGGAACAGACAAGCATTAATCAAATGTAGGATCTTGAAATGTGCAAGCATTCTCTTAGTATGTTGGATAAAATATAATTATTTACTTACTGTCTTTTTCCAATCTAGCCAGCAGCCAGCTTCGGGTGTAGCCTATTCCCATCCAACTACAGTTGCTAGCTACACTGTCCACCAGGCACCAGTGGCTGCGCACACCGTTACTGCAGCCTATGCCCCAGCAGCAGCCACAGTTGCCGTAGCCAGACCTGCTCCCGTGGCTGGGGTGGCGGGGGCGCCCCGCAGCGCGC